TTTAAGGACATAAAAGCAAGAGAAATTATTTGATGTAAGATGGGTTACTGTGTTGCAAAAATAATTTCTCTACATTCTGTGTACTCTTACATCTAAAATTTCTTAAATTCTATACATTTGCAGGATTATCTTCAACATAAACGCCTAAACACTAAAATTGCGGGGTTACTAAGTGCAGGAACTGCATACCTTTTTTTTTTTTTTTTTGGTATAACCTCAGGAACTGCATACTTGTAGAGTCTTATAAATGGAGAGTTATCCACGAAAATATATAACCTAGAGTTGTAGACACTTTTTTTTATGTCTTAGTCACTATTTTCAACGCAGCTTTATCTAATGTATTGTCAAGAGGTCTTGCAATTATTTCTTGAGTTATTATTTGTTTCATCAACTATATATAGTTTTAATTTATCCAATTTTATCTCTAAAAATATGCAAATTATATGTTAATTATTTTTCAAAATAGGTATATATTTCAATTCAAATTATTTTTAATTCCAGAATGTATTTTTTCAAATAATTTAAAAAAATAATAGTCTATGTATGATTACGTTAGCTTATTTTTGTGTTTGAACAATTTATAATTAAAATCTCATTAAGAGAGTTTTTCTTTTTTTAAATTAAGTTTTGATTAGACATATTTTCCTTTCAATTTATCATACAAATTTTTTTTACTGAAAGAGTTAAAAAAAAAAATTCTCAAAAAAAAAAGAAAAACTGAATATGTACTAAATTGCTTGTTAATAAAATTCGAATGCGTGTTAATCATTTTTTATTATTACTTTGCCTGTTACTACAAATACAAAAAGTTTCAAGTACTACTGATCAGCCAATAGTCACCAGGACATAACAGAAACGATTGGTCACAATTTTCTTGATTGATGAAGAACACTCACTATACAATATATTGCAAATGTTGTAGCTAAGTTCCAGCCTTGAGTGGAAAAATTAAGTCTAGTTCGCATGGAAGATGAACATGTCAAGCAAAGCTTCTTGCATGCCAATTGAACATTATGTAAAATGAATATCTATTATCAAGAGATAAGGAATAGAGAATTCAGAACTCACAAGTGATTTTTATAGGCTGGCCTCAAAATAAATATTTTTCCATTGATAATAAAACTAACAATACAAAAGTATTATCAAAATCATATGCTTGTACATTTATTATATAACGAAGCTTCAAATTGGCAGTAGAGAGAGGAAACAAGTTTCTCAAGCTAGTGCAGCATGAATGGTAGATACAAGAATGCTAAGAGTAAATACTAAATAGAAAATAGAAAAACAAAATAAAAAAAATATAAAGAATCCTTCACGAAAGTCTCAATATCTATCTCTTTTGGAAGTTGAAAGCCTTGATTGCAACAGCAAAAGTAAAAGCAAAGAGAAGGGCGATGCCAGGAACGACAACTGCACAAACTCCAATGAAGTCATGTTTGAAACCATAAAATTCTTCAAGGAAAGCTTTCACAGACTTTCCATTTTCAGATTCCATTCCTGTAGTTATATCTCCAAACTGAGATGCAATCAATCCATATATTGTCCATGCCACCGGACATGCCCAATAGTACCATCTCCACCACACTGGGATGCTCTGTTAATGTAACAAGAAATTGTTTAGTGAGTCAGCATAAATAAATATACATTACATTATTATATTACATAAACATGTTCCATCTCCATCTATTAATCATGCATTATTAATTCATATATAGTTTGGCAACACTTACTGGTCTTGCGACGATAAATCCTGAGAAGAGATTCCAAATTGCATAAAATGCAGCAGCCACAATGGAAGCAACATGGTGATTTGGTGTCACTGCCACGGACATCATGCCGTAGAACGTGAAGTAGCACAATGTGAAGAACATGAAATATAGAAACCAAAAGAATTTCTCTGCAGTCCAGTCAAATCCCATCATAGCATAAACTATGAGTCCATATGTCACTGCTTGAGCAAAAATATAAGGCAACTCTACTAGAATCTGTGACACAAAGGAATGAGTTGTGTTAACAATACAAGCTGAAGTACTAATAATGAAAATGTTAGTAAAACTAATAATGATAATGATTTTAAGTTACCTGTGAAAATGCATAGGGTAAGGCAGAATACATTCCAGCAGCTTTTTCTCTATAAAACACAGTTCTTTCAACTGCTACCACTGGCTGTACTGATGAAGAATTCTGTACCCCAAGGAAGAGAGCAGCGGTCGACATTGAACCCACCGCATTCAACAGGTCTTGTCTATTTGAGCTGTCGTAATGTAAGTCACCAAACCACATGGTATCATTATATATTCAGAGTGGAAATCAAATAGGAAGATTACATAATCTAATATGAATATTTTGTGACTCACTGTTTGCCTCCGAGGTCCCAGAACATTGTTCCAAACATCAAGGCTATGAAAGTAGTGAAGAAATATCTCACAGCAGTGTATGGTGGATTGCGCCAGTATGAATAACGCTGTTTCCACAAGCAAGCCTGGCATTGGACCCAGAATGACTGTGAGAATTGAGTAGGGAAATGAAGATCCTTTGAACCAGGAGCAGGTTGGCCCAGTTCTTGTATAAGCTGCTTGTTTCTCCTGAAGAGCCATGAAATGGAAAAACAATTTAAGCATTTTGTAAATCAAGGAAACATTTATACATGACAATAGCTAATATATATATGCATTAGCTTACCTATATAGATCAGAATTCTTGTATAGGTCAGTAAAATCAACACCTAAATTGAGTTCTTGTGCAGTAGATGTAACTTCCAACATCCATGTTGCTGGGTTATATCCGTCTTTGATTTTACTCACACCCTCAATGCTCTGGACAATGGAAATTATTGGAAGACTTAAGTAAATACAACAAAATATTATAGTCGTTCACTTAGGTTAATATTGAATGTAAGTAGGATCCTACCTCGAAATACTTGATCAAATGGGTAGAATGACGACCAAGTGGCCCAACATATATTTCTTGTCCTCCACGCTTCATCAAGAATAACTAGAATCCCATATAATAATATATATGTCAGATTCAAGTCTAATTAATGGAGAAAGAAGGAAAATATAAAAGTAAAACACAAATTCATTTATCATTATCACCACTCGCTCACTAACCTCATCAAAAGCTTCAAATATATCAATGCTAGGCTGATGGATGGTGCAAACAACAGTTCTTCCTGTGTCCACAGTGTTCCTCACAGTTCTCATAACAATGGCAGCAGCTCTCGCATCTAACCCAGAAGTAGGCTCATCCATGAAGATTATGGAAGGATTAGCCACTAATTCAACTGCAATAGTGAGCCTCTTGCGCTGTTCAGTAGAGAGACCACTCACACCTGGCAAACCAACCAACGAGTTCCTCAATGTTGTAAGCTCCACCAGTTCCATCACTTCCTCAATGAACATCTACAACCATTTGTCAAGTTTGAACAATCAGCCTCTAAGTTGAGAAAGCCAGCAATCTCAATTAAATAAATAGCTTAAAATTTTTCATTATGCATGCTACAAGTACTAACCACTAACTAACCTTTCTGGTACTGGAATCAACTCCTGAAGGTAAACGAAGCCATGCTGAGTAGAGCAAGGACTCGTAAACTGTAACATGAGGTGAGTGGATATCATTCTGCTCACAGTAACCAGAGATTCGAGCAAATGTTTCTTGCTTCTTAGGGTACCCAGAAACTTTTATGGTTCCTTCAATATATCCACCGGTTTTCCTACCAGCCAGAACATCCATCAGAGTAGTCTTGCCAGCTCCACTCACACCCATCAAAGCTGTGAGAACACCTGGCCTGAATGCACCGCTGACACCCTTCAAAAGCACTAATTTGTCCTCTTGTACACCTTGTTCTTTCATTTCCTGCCACAGTTGAAATCAAATGAGTGAGGTTGATCTCATCAAATTGTTTTTTATTCAAGCAGAGCTAAAATAGAAACACTGCTAGAAATGCAAATGCTAAATTTATAACATACCTGTGGCATGTCAACAGAGTATATGATATCGTCAAATGTGATAGAATGTGGTTCAAAAGGAAGAACCATTCCTTTTTTCTTTCCGTTGCTTGACTCAACAACAGAATCACCTCTTCCTGAACTTTCTGCATCACAATTGAAAATAATGTTTAGCGTTGTCTGAAGGAATATTATGAATTACTAATCAACTTTTGCCAATGAGTGTTAAAGAATGATATAAGCAAGATAGCTCACGTATGCGTGGTAATTCAACTTCTTCTACGGTTCTGTCATCTGATTCTTCAGTTATATTTGCTTGTGGCTTTTCAAATGCTGCACATTCAAATGCATATTTATCAATAAAATCTTGTATCATTATCACTATAAGAATTTTACAAGCACAACTAATCTCAAATGATGTGAAAAATACTCACGGCCGAGGACCTCAAGAGCCAGACCAAACAAAGCGTTGAAAAGGAACACAAATCCAACCGATGCCCCAAGGCCTAACCAATACCAATATGCATCTGTGAAGAATCCACGGGTATCCAGAAATACAGCTCCTAAATCGTAGGTAGACTGTAATTGGAGAGCAAATAAATAAATTAGGCCTAACTAAATGTTTCTTACTCTTAACCAAAAGTAGATTAGATAAATTATAGAGTTGCAAGTTCAAGAAATTACGTTGTGCCAATTGTTCCCGAGATATTCATTGACCATTAAAGCATGTTGCCCATACATTAAAGGTGAAATCCAGTAACCCCAAATCCACCAGCTTTTGATATCCTCTGTTTCATTGGCAATGAAATGCAAGAACCATCATTAGCTAAGGATTCAGTATGTGATAATTGCAAAATATATTATTATTATTATTTTATTGCTGACTTGTGTTGTGATGTTAATTGAACTTACTTCTTGAGAGAATGAAGCCACCCAATGAAAGAAAAGTGAGAACAGCAAAGGACCCAAATGTGTTAGCGACAATCATGTTTCTACCAAGTGCTGCAATGGCTCGGAATAATCCAGAAGCCATCTGACTGATAAATAATAGCACAAGGTACTGCTTGAAGAACCTGCAAGAAATTCAAGACCTCACTTCATAAGTATTAAGTAAAAAGCAAGAACTGGCATTCACATCATGCCACTAACAGATAAAAGTAGCTTCTTTACCTTCCAACATTTGGATCAAATCCTATACAATAGTAGGTTAGAAATACCCAAACAGCAACTTCCACTAATGTGACGGGAATCTTGAGAATCCATGAAGGAATAGCATATGCCCATGAGGGATAAAATAGAAGGTCCCGTTGCTTGTAGAATACAGGAAGCTTAGCAATGGTCATAGAAATCTCAGCCATTCCATTAAACATAACAGTTACTAATGTAAAAAAGAGAGCACCAGCATAAACACCGGCATCATCCTGATTATTACGATGCATCTCAGTTCGTAGAAACAGTGTCAATGCTATTAATGCCATGACGGTAAGCTGAAAAGCACCAAGAGCAAAATGATAAGTCAAAATCATGCATATGAAATAATTATATAAATATGAAATTAATATAGCATCTATTTATATAAGTGGGCTAGATAGAACGAACCTGGCATAGCTTGAAGATGTAAACAAATGAATTCCTTTTCATAAGCAAATACTCTCTTGCGAAGTTAGCCTTTAAGAGCTCCTTCTTGTTAATACCATACTTTTCAGTGGTTAATGCAGCTGGGTGGTTCTTAGACTTATCAAATGGAACTGCAAGCTCATCTCCAAGTCTCCTACCAATATGGAATGATTGAAATGCCTCAGCAAATTGAGTTACGGTTACAAATCTGTAAGGTTCATCTCTGCGTGCCCAATACTGTGCTTGGTCCTTTTTCGAAGTAACTTCTTGAAGGAAGTCAGCAACACCTTTCCTCTCAGGACATTTGAAACCCATAGATTCGAAAAAATCAAGAACATATTCACGAGGTCCTTGGTACACAATTTGGCCATCAGAGATTAAGATAATGTCATCAAAAAGATCATAAGTCTCAGGTGCTGGCTGGAGCAGTGATATAAGTGCAGTTCCATTAAGAATGTGAACATATTGCCTCAGAGAGCTCACTATCTGAAAAGTAGTGGAACTGTCCAACCCAGTTGAGATTTCATCCATGAATAGAGCATTAGCTGGTCCAACAAGCATCTCTCCTGTGGTAACACGCTTCCTTTGTCCACCAGAGATCCCACGCAACATTTCATCCCCCACCATAGTATCAGCACATATATCCAACCCCAAAATCTGCAAGATTACACATTAAATAACTAAATACCTTGGCTTTCATAACAAACATCAACGCATGACATGACATGTCATGACAGAACTAATTAACTAAGCTAAATTGAACCTTATTTTAGTATTACCTTTAGTGTGTAATCGGTTACTATGCTTGACTCCTGGCCTGCAGTTGCAGTTGCCTGTTATATCAAAAGACAATCAGATGCAAAGATAATATATGCATAGCTATTTTTTTTTTCACTTAAATGAAGATTGATAATAGCTTCTTTATCTCACCTTCATGTAGAAATCAATATCAGCATCAGGCTTGATATTAGCTGCTTTCTCTCTTCTTGACAACTCAGATAACATGTCTGTTTGGATCCCAAGAACAATAACCAGTCAAGCTCAGGCTACATATATCCCAAATTAGATTTTGAAAACATTAGGCAGGTGTTAAAAAATGGACTAACCATAACGTGATCCGACTCCTTGGCACCTTGCTGAGAAAGCCAAGGTTTCCCTCACAGTCATTTCTCCAATATGAACATCATGCTGGCTGATGTAAGCAGCAGTTCTCTGAGGTACAAACTCGTTCATTTCATGCCCATTATAAGTCATTCTCCCAGATACCTGAAAGACGCATCGGTATCCAAATTAGGTTGAAAAAAGAAAGAAAGAAAGAAATATAGTATGTTTGTCAATTAACAAATAATAAATATTTAAGGGAAATGCCTTTCACCTGAAGACTTGAATCAAGTTTTCCTGACAAAGCCAAAAGGAGTGTGGTCTTTCCTGAACCTGGAGGACCCAAGAGCAGTGTCATCCTGCGAGGTTTGACGATGCCGCTGACATCTTTAAGAATAGTGACATGTTTCTTTTTGCTCGGGATGATATGGAGCAGATTCAGCAAACTCTGGAAGGGCCAAACATAGAAAGATTGTGAGACTAATTAATTGCAAAACAGAACAAAGAAACAAAAAAAGATTAAAAAAATAAAATAAAATTGATGAAGTAGAATATGCCTCTCCTTACCTCAATAACGTTAGTAGCAGAGTTGATGAAAGTGGGCAAAGATCTGCTTCCGACAAAAGCCTCAGCCTCAATATTGAGGTGCTCATATCGAACTTCAATTGTTGGAATATCAAGCCCAACTCTGCAAAGATAAAAATAAAATAATGAGCGTGAAGAGATAAAGGAACTTATTAGAGATCATAAGATAAGATATTATGAATGAATGAGTGAGTAAATTAAAGTGAGAAGAATGAAGGAAGGAAGAGGAGTGGATCCTTGAATTTGATACCTATCAACTCGTTCTTTGAGCTTCAGCAAGAACTTCTCATTGTCCTCTTCAGCTACTTTGACCAACCTCTCAAGCAGTTTCTGTCTCTCTTGAAAACCAATATCAGTGACATCGATTTCATTGGCGGCTCCATGTGAAGCGGTCAACAACCCTTTCCTGAGACGGTTGTAAGTGGGAAGCTTTTCAAGTGCAGCCCATTTCAGAGCTTCTTCGTCGTTCTCTTCACGCGATGACCGTGAGAATACCTCAACGCCACTGTTTCTCCAAACTGTTGAACTTCTTGCTCTTAAACTATTACTTGCTCTGTATATATCATTTCCCTCCATTGTTGCTCTTTCTCAACAACAACAACCCCACCACCTTGTTTCTTCTTCTTCTTCTTCTTCTTCTTCCTCGTCAAGGCTCAAAATGAACACACAGATTTTTTTCAACGATGCTTCTTTGTAGAACCCCCCCACACAAATAAGCGAAAGAATTAAAGAATGTAGAAACCAAATAAAAAAGAAGAGAAAATGTGCTCTTTGGGATGGGAAGTGTGTTTTCAGCTTTCTGAGTTTGGAATGGAAAAACATGTCTCTATTTATACCGTTGATTCCGAAAACAGGCGGCTATTGAAGAGTCAAAGAATGGAATCACGAGGTTTTTATTGTTATTTTTAAATAAGAAAAACTAATTTGAAAGGGAAACTTCCATTCTCGAATGGTCAAACAAGTAGGCCTACTCGTTTTGTAATAACTAATAATAATGCAGCAATGGGAATAGAGAAAATAAAAAATAAAAAATAAAAAAATAAAAAAACAAAAGAAGACCATTTAAAAAGTTACGACTTACGAGCTTAAAAAATAAAAAAAGTTAGTTAGGAGTTTGCTTGACCAGTACGGCAATAAAGTATCCCACACGAGAGGGGAAATATTTGTAATATTTAGATTAAACACTCTTTTTAGTTCCTGTTAATATCTACGAAGTCCTTTTTAGTCCCTAGAAATAAAAAATGACCAAATTAGTCCCTGAAATTACAAAAAAAGGACCATGTTAGTCCTTATGTCAACTCCCAAATATATAGAGTGGCCCTTTCTTATACTTTCAGGGACCAATTTGGTCATTTTTTATTGCCAGGGACTAAAAAGGATGTTTACTCTAATATTTATTTTCATATTAATTTAAGGAAAAATTATTTATGGGTTTAAAGAATATAAACTCATATTCTTTCACCTTTTTATAATTATGTATTTTAGAAAATACATAATTATAATATTGAAAAAAGTATATGTCATTTTAAATGACACAAACTTAGGTCCTTTTAAGAGAAAGATAGACAGAAAAAGGTGAGACTCAAACTTTTTTTTTTCGAGTGGAACTCACACCTCATTGTGTTTATCTCTCTCTTAAAACTACCTAAGTTTGTGTCATTTAACAGGACACATTTTTCCTATAATATCAAAATTATTTTTTTCTCTCTCTTCATAAACTTTTCATAAATTTGTCGGCTGACATCGAGAGAGAAAAAAACAACTTTCATATTATAACTATGTACTTCCTGAAGTACATAACTATGTACTCCCCTTTTAGACTTTAATAAGTCGGGTTTAGCAGCAGCTCGACACCTTTATAGTAGTCATCAAATTTCCTTACTAGTACCGGCTTAGTCATCATGTCGGACCAATTGAGGTCGGTGTGCACTTTGGCGAGTTTGAGTTATTCATCTTCCACCACATCCCAGATCCAATGATACTTCACATCAAGGAACAGTGACCAAAATGCCACTGTTCCCCGACTTTTTTCCCTAAATGACAAGCCAACAGTGTTAATTCCCTATATGCCACGTGGGCAAGTTCGTTACTTCGGGTAGCGAACTTAGTTACAATTAATGCACCTGCACGTTTCCACCTGCCACACCACGTGGCAGACATGCAACGAAGTTCGTTGCCCGCCCTAGCGAACTTCGTTGCATGTCTGTCATGTGTCATCGTGGCAGGTGGAAACTGCAGGTACATTAATTGCAACCAAGTTCGCTACCCGGAGTAGCGAACTTGGTGTCCAGCAAGAACGTGACACATCAGCAAATTGAGTTCGCTACAGTGCCCAGCAAACTTGTCCACGTGGCATATTGAAAATTAACACTGTTGGCGTGACATTTAGAAAAAAAAGTTAAGAAACAATGACATTTTTGTTACTGTTCCTCACATCAATGTGTTTAGTGTAATAGTGATAAATCGAATTCTTCGCAAAATTAAAAAAGTAGGTTAGGAGCTTGCTTGACCAATACAGCAATAAAGTTTCCCACACGAGAGGGAAAATATTTGTAATATTTATTTTCATATTAATTTGAAGATGCAAGAGAAGATCAAATGATGATAGTTCACTTGAGTATTAGAGCTGAACAGATGAGGTAAGAGTATGAGTTCGATCATCCTCAGTATATCTTTGGAAGAGATTTAAAAACTTTATCCTAGATTCGCCCGACAGAATTACTTCCCGTGAAGTTTTTTTGAGATTTATATATATATATATATATATATGAGGAATGATATTCTCACTACCAAAATTTTTCACTACCAACTTACTACCTATCTAATCACCATTAGATTAACATTTTCTCTCTCTTCAAATTTTTTTTAACATTCTCTTTCTTTGATCCAATGGTGATGGGATGGATAGTAAATTAGTAGTAAAATAATATGAGCAGGACGTCAGTAGTAGTTTTTTTTTTAATTTTAAAGAAAATAAATGCTTGAAAGTTAGAATTTCACTTGTGTATTTTGGTTTTGAGTCTTCACGTCCGAAATTTTGGCAACTAGAACGATCAGAACCTTCAATTTTGACTTCTAGATTAATAAAAAAAATTAAATATAAGACCAGTCAACAAAATTGATCAGCTCCTCTTTTCGTTGAAAGGAACTTTGGACCAATAAATATTCAACTTCTAGATAGATAGTAACTAGAATACAAAAAGATTACAGTAGTTGTGCTAGTAGAAATTTTTTCCTTTTCTTTTTTAATTTTAATATATATATATATATATATATATATATATATATATATTTATATTTGTCATTGTTAATCTTTATATATGCGATGATTATAATTTCAATGATTAATAATTAATTAATAAATATATTTGCAAATATTACAACTATAACATATATAAAAATTAATGATTAAGATGAGGAGTAAAAAATTTTATTTTTATATCGGAGTAGAAAAAATCCTTGCCGAAATTCAATAACCTGTATGCAAATCTTTGTCAAAAGGAAAAGTTTGTAAAAGGCTAGAAAAACTCAAAGGTAAGTTTTTATAGGGTTCCTAGGTTCTTGGGGTGTCAAAGGAAGTTTTTGTGTATATCCTATATATCCACAATAACTCAATAAGGATGAAGTCAGAGGTATTTTTTTTTCTCCTTTGAAAAATTAAATACCCAATGCTGTCGGCGTGAGGTTATTTTAATAAGTAGGTGTTGCCATGATGCAAGAGAATTATTGAAGCAATGCCTTTTGGAGTCCAAACCTAAAAAAGAATAAGAAGTAAGAACTATCCTAGAGGACCTTTAAGTTTTAGTTTTCAAGCTTAAAAAGTTAATATAATCATCAAACAATTTCAACTTTATTTTCGAAGCTTTTAATTTTTATTTTAACTTTAAAGTAATTTTTAAGCTTAGAACAGATCATGCTGTAGGAGATGTTGAGACTTGATAAATTATATTGTCTATGAAATAATGTGTGATGACCTATAATGCACCGATATTTTAAAAAAACTTGAAATATCATATCTGACTCTCGCCAATACTCTGATACGCTCCAACATTTATAATATTTAAAATTTTATTACATATTATAACAAAAATTGATCGATATTTTACCAAACTAATATAATAAAAAACTAAAATGAATAGCAAATAAATCTCACTGTAGTGTATAAGATATTTTCAATTTAAAAATATAATAGAATATTTATATCTTATGGATTTTTGCAAAATTGATGGATATTATACGTTTTTTTTATTAAGTTATTGAATATTAAATATAATATACTATAAATAAATTAAAAAATTATTTAATATCAAAATGTATTATAACGTATCAAAATCTAATATTTTTTAAAATTAATATATTAAAATTGTATCTCGTGATTACAGTTGTAGGAATTCTTGTGAATACTGAGTTAAGAAAGCGGACCATGCTTCTTATTACGGCCTTTCTGCATGGATGCCATTTTCAATACCCCATGAAGCGCCACTGTCAGCCTAATTCAGCATTTAGTTTGGGCCAGAAATATTTTAGCCCAACTCACATAATTTGTCGTGCTATTGGCCTGCCCAATATGGCATGCGCTGAATTATGTTGCGTTATAAGTTTTGTTTGACCATTTTAATGATACTTACTAATAATGCTCAGAATTGTTGTAACTCTTGTTAATTCTTTGAATGGTAAAGTTTAAATATCTTTCATGTGTTTCTCTTTAATCACTTACTTTCTACTCTTTTTTTATCACTCGAATCTTTTATGATTTTACTACGACTTACTTCTACTATAATTATCTATTTATTTGTTAATTAGTATATGTTTTTTAGAATAAAATTGAAATACCTTATTTTGTCATGTGTTCGAATTTTCCTTCACTCTTCAATTTCATTGTTTGGAACGAATATCTATTAGGCTAAAGATTTCATTTTTTATTACATTTAAACAAAAAATAAATAAATATATTATAAAAAATTTATGATTACATAAAAATACTTAATTCATAATAATATAATAAATCTTGCACACATCTACTTACTAAAACTAGTTCCCTTTATAAAATCATTTGATTTAGTTTTAATTTGAAGACTCTACCTGAGATTATTTGTCAAAGCTCTTGATATAAAGACCCCTAACTGGTAAATCTTAATTAGAGATTTAATTTAAGGATTTAAATGTCATAATTAGATTCATAACGTGATTTTGAGTATTTTGATATGATCATGACTAGGTCATGAATAGTGCTTTATGTCGGATGTTCTGCATTATTGTGTAGCAATTGGTGGAGCTTAAAATGAGCAAAATGAGTTTAGAGACCTAATTTGGCAATTCTGATGCCAGATATGAGTTCAGAACGAAAAATTGTATAGTCTGACACTTTCCGTGAAAATCTCATGAATAGTGTTTTGCCGGGTATTTTGTACCGCTGTTTAAGCAACCGGTAGAGTCCAGAATTAAATAATTGATGAAATAAGATTAAGGAAGTCCAATATATGCCAAGCAAGTCATGTTTAGACCAAAAGTATTAAGTTTGTAAGTTTTACAATTTTGTGTGTAAACAGTGCACAGTAAGTGATTCACAGTGCATTTCGTCAAAAAATGATGCAGAAATCATACGATGAATTAAAAATACTATTCCTTAGGGAATAAAAATTAATGTAAGTTCAGAAAAATAAAAATATGTCTGTAGCTTTAAGTTAGTTCCAGGTCAATTTA